CAGGTCCTGCTTCATCCCCACAATAGTTGCTGTTTGAGGCCATTGTTGAAACCACTGCGTCAGTCCATCTCGTTGGAAGGTCTTCCTATTTTTCACTAATGTCTTTCTCCAGGGGCTGTTCTCTCTTAACAGCATATCCTAAGTATGTAAGATGAAGGCTTGCTCATCATCCTTGCTCCTAAAGAACATTTGGGTTATACTTTTTCAACTCAGATTTGCTTAATATTTTTCACCAACACCATAATTCACAAGCATCACTTTTTCTTATGTCTTCTTTAGCTTTTCTGCATGCATAGGAGGCAACTGAAAATACCATGACTAGGGTCAGACAAATCTCAGTCTTCAAAGTAACATCTAGTAGATAGTTTTTAAATTCTTTTTTAATATATCTATAAATGTATTTCCAAAATAGTGTTTTGAAATGATCAAGGTCTAAGTAGAGCAAAAGAGGATACTTGAGCTAGAGTCCAAAGAAAGGCAAGGAGTGTTATAAGGAAAGAATAGTCAGTATATTCAAATACTACCAGTAGCCATGTGGAGGAAATCTGGCATAATTTGATCATTAGAATCAGTCAATAGGAAACAGTCATTTTAAAGTGAGTATTTTGAAATCAGCAAGATGGCACCACCCGCAATATTACACCCTTTCTCCCGGCTGCTGACCCTGGGCCTGGCTCCTGAGCAGTCTTTCAGCAAAGTCAAAGTTTTACATTTGGGAGCTGATAAATAGAAAACCTGATTGACTGAAATTTGGCCTGACCTTGGGCACCACAGTATTCCTATGGACCTATCTCATCAAGCAACATAGTGAAGATGTCTTAGAATATAAAAGAAGAAATGGTTTGGAATAAACTATTGAAATATTGACACAGTATGCTCCATGTCATGATTGCAGGAATTCTTCTGGATTCACCAATCTTTTGAATGTAAGTGAGAAACAACAGTTAAAAGTGAATGTATATTGTCAGCAGCTGTGTGTTTCATCAAGTGAAACAAAGTACTTCTGTATTCTTTCCATACAGAAGCAAACCAAGAAGGAAAACGAGAGAGCGAGGGACTAGACCCTACACTGGCACACCAAGCCCAGAGTATGATGTCCCAGCACAGAGCTGCTAAGGCACAGACAGAACTGTACAGCAGACAACAGCTTGAGACATGATGTCCCCTCACTGGAGCATACTGTGACAGAGGACAGTATTCTGGGGACACACAGTGAGGTGTGTGTCTAGTTTGACCACCCTCACAGTGGGATGAACCAAAAAGGGAACATAACAGAGCAGCAACGGGAGCAAAGCCAAGCCAGAAAACCCTTGAGGAGTGCCCCAAATAGACTTCTGATTAGGAGGGGCAGTTCCTGGAACTCCCCTACCCCCACTCCAGGACAGGTGGGGAGATAGTCATTAAGGTCAGCAGACAGACCTGGAATTATGATGTATGCTTTTTTTTTGGTTTTGCTAGTTTTACTTCTTTTCCTCTTTTTATTTGATCTTTTGTTTTCTTTTTGTTTTGTTTCTGTTGTTGTTGTTTTGCCTACCAATATGGAAGCAAGCCTGGGTAGAAAGCAACAGACCTGCAGAGAGAAGGAGGCTGGGGAAGGGAAGCAGTGAACAAACAGTGTTAATAGGGGAACAACGAAGGAATTAAAATCAACAATGAGGAAGATGGAGAGACCCTGGGGTTGTTGGAGCAACAGCAATCTAGCTAAGAGGAATTACTAAGAGGCAGAAGGGTGAGCATGATGGTGGGAAAGGAGGAAGCTAAAAGGAAACAGGGAAGATCTAGGAAGCAAAGCTGTGGATAGAAGTATAAATAAGTTTGCACTTAAGTAAATATATTAATAAAAGTAGAGGTATTGACTTAGGTACATATATTTATATGGCAATACATTGAGGAGGTGGATGGACTTTGGGTCTCTGCTGAAGACCTTCATTAACACAAGAACACTTTGTTCTAACAACCTGGCATTCTGTGATGCTTACCCTCCTGACAAAATCGCTGAAGGTAAAATGGGTGCATGAGCAAATGTGGTGAAGAAAGCTGATGTTGCTCCCCAGCTAGTGGATGAAATAGCGTCTGGGCTCTTAAGAGCTTGAAGTTAAACAAGCAGCCATCTAGCAGAGAAGCAACAAGCCCACATGGAAGAAGCACACCAGCCTGTGCAATCATGAGGTGTCGATGGAATCAGGCAACAGGCACCAGAAGACCCAAAACAAAACAAACAAAACAAAATTACTGAGAACATGGGGGGTTGGAGCAGAGACCCCAAACCCATCTGTAGACAATAGGACATCCCCTCACAGAAGGGTCACAAGGAAGGGATGAATCAACCAGGGTGCAGTATAGCACCAATGAAACACACAATATTCCTCTGGTTCTTTGAGGCTTCCTCACTCCCCCATGATCATGACCCAGTCCTGCCTTTCAGTTCTGACTAGACTGGCGCATGTACACTGGTACAGAGGAAAGCTCACACAATCTAAGTCAAACCCCTCAGGAACAGAAATGGGAGTAGCAATACCAGGAGGGGAGGGAGAAGGGGAGGAAGAGAGAACCTATCGAAATGATTGACACATAACCTCCTCCCACAGGGGTATGAACAACAGAAAGGTGGGCATAAGATATGAATAGTGGTCATTGTAAGATATGAAAATAATAATTTATCAGTGGGTCACGAGGGTGAGGGCAGGGGGAGAATGGGAAAAAAGGAGCTGACACTTTCTGGTAGAAAGTAAATGTTTAGGAAATTATGGCAACATATGTATAAATATGCTTGATACAATTAATGTATGGAATGTTATAAGAGTTGTAAGAGCCCCCAATAAACTGATTTTCTTAAGTGAATATATTGGAAGCACTGAGTAGAAAGGCTCATGTCAGTATTAATGTTTTGAGGTGAAGAGAAAGTAGACGCAGTTAAAAATTGTGCAGTAGTGGAAAATAGGGTAGAGATGGTGGCGTAAAGCTAGCATTAGGGGGGTAGTGTGAAGAGTCCATCAGAGCAGTCTACTATTCCTCTACCAGTTTCTGATGAAAAGGAACGTGCAGATAGGCCCTTCCTCTCTATTTTTACTGTTCAGTATAGTTTCTGTAAAATTATAGCTACTCAATATCTGCTGAATTTTAGATGATAGAATCGTACCATGCTAAATCTTTTATCATAATCTTTCTCAAGTTTAGCCTGTTCCCACTAACAGTATTTCCACTTAAGATTATTCACAAACTACTCTAAAAACTTGATATTTACTTTCTCCTGTCATTTCTCATGTTAGTCAGCTGGGATGAGGTCACCGAATTAATATTTTCACATCATACACTTGGTTATATCACTCACCTGCTTCATAACTTTCAAAGTCTGATCACTATTTATTGAAAACATTTGTAGTATTTGGCTTTACACCAAAGCCTAGCTAGACACAATCTGGCCCATAATTTACCTTTCTATCATTTTCTTCCAACTAATTGCTTACACATTAGCATCATTGGACTTAAAAAGCTTATAAACCATAACTCCCCAGCCCAGTAAGTGACTATTATTGTCTAAATAAAACAATTCCAGAATCAAAAGTAATTTTAAAATAATTCAAGTTCTTCAATACATTTCTCAGATATCAAGGAGATTACATATACTATAGTAATACTTATTAAAAATTAATTTTCTCTCATCTACTTCTCTCAGATGTTGAAACTGCTCTCATTATGTCTCCTTCCTTGGACTCTCTGGGACTAAAATTCCTTATACAAACTATTTTTTAAAGTAATTTTATTGGAGACTCTTACAACTCTTGTTAAAATCCATGTATCAATTGTATCCAACATATTTGTACATACATTCCATCATTCTTTTTTAGACATTTACTTTCATTGAGCCCTTTAGATCAGCTCTTCTTTTTTTCCCTCCCTCCTCCCCCCACGCCAACCCTCGTGGCCCCTGATAGATTATAGGTTGTTATTTTCAAATCTGACTGACTGCTGCCTCCCTTCCTCTCTGATTTCTGTTGTTCTTCCCCCAGGCTGGGGTGTGTGTGGTTATATGCCATTCATTGCGATCAGTGCTCCGTTCCCTCCCCACCTCTCCCCCTCTTTCCCCTACCCTTGTGGTATCTCTGGTCCCATTCCTGTTCCTGGGTTCCATGTGTTGAGAGTTTTATGTCTTGCTTTTACCTATGTACATGCTCCTGTCTAGTCTAGATTAGGAAGCAGCACTGGACCTTATACAAACTATTAACTCTAGAAGCCTTTCATGAGCTTCTGTTTCCTTTTCTTCCAAATTTTGCATTTCAAAGTCTCTATGAATTAACAGAATTGTACTCTTCTTAGATAAAAAGGCAAAAGAATGAGTGGGCCAATCTAGGCTCTTCTTTAGTGGACATCTTTAGGGACGTCGTGAAAACACCCAATGTTAATTATTTGTGCCTCTTTAACAGACAGCTGTTTGTGTATTATTTGTACTTTTTGTCTCTGTGATTTCATAAGCAGTTTCTTCTGATTTTTGGAATTCCACCTATCTTTGAAGGACACATGCTCAGCTAACTATCTTGGCTACAAGTGACTGCTCTGTTACTTTGTCATGATTTATTTTCTGGTATCACTTTTAGAGTGTATATTACATGGCTGCCTTGTGTTTCTTACTGAATTGATCAGGAATCGTGCCATATTTTATATTGATCCTCTGTGCCTAACTACAAGTGAGCAGCGTAAGCATCACATGAGAGCTTATTAGAAATTGGAAATTGTGTGCTGTAACCCAGACTTCGTGGATCAGAATCAACATTTGAGTAAGATATCCAAATGAATTATATGTTCATTAAAATTTAGTCTTTGCTGCAATCAAATAACTTGGTATTTTACATTACAGCAACCAAGAGTGCTCTTCTCTTAGAATATGCTAACTAGGAATGCTCAGGGTTTCTGCTTTTGCTAATTTACTGGAAACTCTTGCAAGCTGTAACTTGGTTTTTCTCTTATACTTTGAGTGCCTCATTTACCTTGGGTACTCTTACCTTCTGTATTACAGGTCCCAGTCATCGAAGATCTAGCACAGATGTCTTTTTCAAGTTCACGCCTTCTGTCAGTTACTTGTCTTTTAGCGCATGGATTTGGGTTGGTTTTATTTTTTTTTATGGGGAAAAATTATTAAAAAGGAGAATTACAGGGTTAAAATATAGATTTGAAAATAACGAATAACTACTTTTCAGTACTTTAAAAACCTAAGAAAAAAAATTCCCTGGAACCTTTCAACACCATAGTCATTTAAACACCATCCTAATAAAAACATAAAGTCTGATTTTAACTCTTTCACCATTAAATATTTTATAGGACATTTTGAAAAGTAAAACAATGTTTGACAAAAGCTCATGCACAGTTTTACGTAACAAAATTGGAACCAAAATATAATACTTTGCGTTTTTAGGTATTCTAAAATTGAATGGTAAAAGTTTATTAAATAAACTTGATTTTCCTACCTTTAAAAATAATCTGTTTCCCCGAAAGTAAGACATCCCCCGAAACTAAGACCTACTTATAGGTTTGCCTCTCGCTGAAATATAAGGCATCCCCCCGAAAATAAGGGTTTAGATATGATGTTGTTTATAATGATGTTCCAAAAGATGATGACATGACTGTCATTGAATAAATGAGTAAATGTACCACAGATTGTTGTACATGGAAATAATGGTAGTAACAAGAAATTCTTGTTACTGTTGGATTCACCGTTTGTCTGGTTATGCTGGTTTGTGATGACAACTACTACCATATACAGGTAATAAATTTCCCTTTTTTTGGTTCAACAATAAATGTGTACCGTATTCTTCTTCGTGTAAAAATAAGATATCCCCTGAAAATAAGACCTAGCATATCTTTGGGAGCAAAAATTAATAGAAGACACTGTCTTATTTTCGGGGAAACAGGGTAGTGAAGTATAGAAAAATCTTTAAAATTCAGAAAAAGATCAGTAACATAATCAAAGCATTCCTCTATTTAGTTAACTCCTTAGTATTATGCACCTTTTTATTATTAGGAACTTTTTGAGATAATGAAATTTTATGTCACCCTCATGAGATATATGGATATTTTTATTTAAATGATGATACATTAAAATGGACTTTGTTTTAGTTTATGGTTCTGTGAATTGTGTATGAATTCCTACGTGTTGTTGGTAGTTGCCATCGGGATGGCTCTGACTTATGAGGACAAAGGTATCACAAAGTGCTGTCTGGTTCTGTACCAGGGGTGGGACTATTGGTAGACATCTGACTGGACTCATAATTACCCCCACAATTAGAACACAGTTTCAGCTCGACATAAAATCTTACCCCCATGCTATCCTTCAGCATTACCCCTTTGTTACCCTTTTGCACCTAGCAAAAACTGCTCGTCTCCAGACTTAGTTTTGACTTTGAGAACGTGGTGTAATTGAAATCACACAGTATATACTTTGTGACTCGCTTCTGTCAGTTACTATAATGCCCTTGAGTTCATCCTAATTATTTTGGATAACAATGGGTTGTACCTTCAACAGGTTAATGGATAACCTAGTACATAGATTCTGCTATATGTATACCAGTTTATCCATTAATCTATCTAAAGAATATTTATTTCTCTGCCATTTTTTAGCAACTATAAATAAAGCTACTATAAGCATGTACAGGTTTTGTGTAAACATATATTTTTATTTCTCTAGGGTAAATACTTAGGCATGGGATTACTGGCTCATACGTTAAGCATATCTTTAACACTGTAAGAAAACAACAGTACACGACTTTCCAGAATAGCTATACCATTCTGTATTCCCAACAGTGATATAAGGGTTCCAGTTGTTTTGCATCCTCCTAAGTACTTGGTATTATTAGTATTTGTTACAGACTCCTAACAGCCTTTCAGAGGTATCTCATCATGGTTTTAATTGCATATCCCTAATGGCTGATGATATTGAGTATTGTTTCATGTGCATATTTTGCATCTATAGATCTTATTGAAAGGGATCTTGGTGGCATGATGGGCTGCTAATCCCAAACTCAGCAGTTTGTAACTATTAGCTGCTCCACAGGAGAATGATGAGATTGTCTACTACAGAAAAGAGTTACCGTCTCAGAAACCCACAGGTGCAGTTTTACCCTGTCCTATAGGGTCGCTATGAGTTAGAATTGACTTAATAGGAGTGTTTGTTTTTTGGTATCACTTTATTGAAGTATATGTTCCAGTCTTTTGCTCATTTTAATTGGGTTGTTTGTTTTCTTGATGTTGGGTTTTGAGTATTTTCATATATTTTGGATATAATTGATTTGCAAATATTTTGCCTTTTCATTGTCTTAACAGTGCCATTTAAAGGGCAAAGGTTTTTAATTTTGGTCTAGTTGTGAGGATTTTAGTCTTTACAGATTGAGTTGTAATCAATACTGAAGGGTGCAATCCTTGATCTTCATCAGCTTTCAAGTCCTCCTGGCTGTCAGCAAGCAAGGTTGTGTCATTTGCGTATCACAGGTTGTTGAAGAGCCATTCTCCAATCATGGTGCTGCATTCTTCATGAAGTTCCGTTCTTCAGATTATGTGCTCAGCCTACAAATGGAATAAATGTGGTGAGAAGACACAAACCTGACGCACGCCTTCTCTGATTTTGAATGGACTGCCTCTCCATCTATGCACAGTTCCACATGGGCACAGTTAAGTGTTCTGGAATGAACATTTTTTGCAATGTTATCCATAATTTGTTATGTTCCACATAGTTAAGTACAAAGTCAATGAAACATAAGCATCTGTCTAGCATTTTCTGCCCTCAGTAAAGATCCATCTGATAGTTATAGTTTATTTTTTTCTCTATTTTAAAGATTCTCTGTATAGGTTGTAGAAGTGCCCTTCACGTCTTAGTTTTTTGATAGATTTTTCAAAATCAGGAATGGATGTTAAATATTTTGGAATGCTTCTTTGCAATAGTTGATCTGATCACCTAATTTTTCAGTTTTAAACTATTAATATGTATTACATTGATTGATTTTGGAATATTCAAAGAACCTTGCATTTCTAAAATAGACCCCCAATTAATCATGGTGTATTGTTTTATACATTTCTGAATTAAATTCCTTAATATTCTGTTGACAATGTTGCTTTCATGGAGGACACTCATCTACAGTTTCCTTGTATATTCTGTTTTAATTAGTGGTGGCCTCTGAAAATGCACCGGGAAGTCTTTTTTCCCCTATTTTCTAGTCAAGATTATGTAGAGTACCGTATATACTCGTGTATAAGCTGAGTTTTTCAGCTATTTTTTATGCAGTTTTTGTGGTAAAATTAGGTGCCTCAGCTGATAAAAGGGTCGGCTAATAATCGAGCATATATATTATTTTTTCTCTAAATACTTGGTAGAATTCACTCGTAAAGACAGTCATCTCCTGAACCTAGAAATTTCTTTTACAGAATGTATTTTAATATTTAAAATTTAAATTACAATTGTAATGTCATTAACAATCTTGAGTATTCAGGTAGTGTTACATTGTGTGGAAGTGCAAATTTCAAGGAATTAGTCCATTTCAACTATATTGCCACATGCATATGTATAGAATTGTTTGCACATTTACTATCATTTTAACTTTTGTAAATTCAGTTAAGATCCTCTTTCATTTTTGACATGGATAGTCTTTATCTTTTTATGTATTTTTTGGCACACTGACTAGTTGTATCAGTGTTATCCATCACGGGTAAGTTGGTTAAAATAGTTTTTGTAGTAGTTGTAGTTGAGGTGAAAGTTTACAAAGCAAATTTTCCATTCAACAACTTATATGCATTTGTTGTGTGACATTCCCAGTGGTTCCCTCAGTGTCGCAGCACTCTTCCCCTTCTTCCCTAGTGTCCCCTTTCTACTGTCTCCCCAGTCCCTGGCAGTTGTTCTAGGGCAGATGCTGCCTTTCCGACTTGACGGCACGGCTTATGTTTGCCTGTTAGGGCTGCCTCTTTGGTCTCGTGGTTGGCTGTGCTGAGGTTTCATTCCTCTCTCTCGAAGGTTGTTAGGCAGTCTATTGACCTCAGTTGTGTGTGTAGGGTTCGTAAATGTACATGTAACAAAAGGAACCCTGTCAAGTAACCTTGGACTGCAAGGTTGGTGGTTCAAACCTACCAGTCACTCCAAGGGAAAAAGATGTGGCTTTCTGCTTCTGTGAAGATTTAAAGTCTTGGGTACCCTGTCTAGGGTTGCTGGGAGTCAGAATCAACTGGATGACAGTTGGGTGTATGTGTAACACAAACATTTGTCATTTCAACATTCTTCATATTTTCAATTAAGTGAAACTGTGTTGTGCATTTATTACCGTATCAGTCAACCAGGCTTTTGATCTCAATGATGTCTCTTATTTTTCTATTTTCCATTTCATTTACTTATGAGTTTACCTTTATCATTTCCTTTCCTCTACTTGCTTTGATTTTCTTTTCCTATTGTTTTAGTTTCTTATGATTTCAATAGTTGATGTAATATATTTATTTTTTCTTTTGTAACACAAGCATTTAATGGTATAGTGGAAATCACTCAGCACTGATAAGCTGCATTCTACCCATTTTGATACATTGTATTTTTAATCTCTAATTTCCCTTGAGACTGCCTCTGATTTATGGATGAGCTGTATGTTTTTTACATTTTCATGTTGAAGATTTTTCTATCTTTTGGTTATTGATGTCTAGTTTAAATCCACTATGGTCAAAGAATATACATTTTATGCTTTGTTTTGTAAATTTGTTATGGTTTATTTTATGACCCAGAATTTTGTCTGTCTTGGCACTTGTTCATATGCATTTGAATTATTTGAGAAGACCGTTTTTTAGAAGCCAATTAAATTCAGTTGGTGGTTCTATTTTGAATCTACTTTTTAATCTCAAAAGTGATTCATTTAAAGCACACCCTATCCTGATGTGGTCTCATTAACATAAGAAAGAAAAGTGCCTTCCCAATTGGGATTACATCTACAGGTATAATGATTAGGATTTATAACATATTTTGTGGGGGACACAATTCAATCCATAATGGAGTATTATGAAGTACTCTTTCCAGGTCCTACATGCATGCACATATAGGATCTACTTGGTAAATTTATCTTTTAA